CCACTTGTACAGAGACTGCCTTAATAATCTCTGTCATGTATGCAATAAACAAGGACATATTGCTATCGATTGCCCTTATACTATCCTATATAAACAGAATCAGACATATCAATATGGCTGTGATCTTAATAAAGTAGCTGCCCAAAGAGCCTACTACCATAGTATTAGATGCACTTACAACTGCTACCAATGCAAGAACCCAAAAAGAACTGAACGACTTAGAATCCTCGATAATTAACTTGTCTGCTAAGCCTGCTATGTTGACTTCTACTATAACTTGGATCGAAATGATTCCAAAAGTATTATTTCTATACCCAAGGTGAAGGACAAGAAACTCTAGTGATCTGCAAAATCTGCTAATATTTGGATATCTGATCCAGGATGTATAACATCGGAAGCATAACCAAAGCCTTTTGGTTTTGCAACCTTGAATATATGTATACATACAAGGCTAACTAGAATATTTTCTACAATTCTAACTACAATCTCTAGACCCAGATCCAATACTATACTTATCTCTACTCGAAGTGCAAGATCTCAATATGAAATAAATCAGATACGTATCTTCTGACTTGTAAAGATCTATTTGCAAGAAAGCAACCAAGATATTGCCGAAGCTTTAGAACCTCTTATGACTGACTAAATTAATCAGCTATGGAACAATAAGAAAATAAATCTTGTTCTTTATGCTGAACTAAATTTATTGAATGAGGATGAAGCTCTCCAACTACAACAGACCCTCAACTAATCCTTCAATATTAGCTACCCAGACTTTTGCAAAGAGTTAGCTCTTGCTAACTTTAATGAAACTTCACTGACTCTGTAGACTTTTGTAAAGAATATCTCTATATCAAGCACCAAAATGAGTTTGATCAAAATAATAGATATTGTACTGAATATGCTATCACATCTTCTCTAATCTTTAACCCAGAAGTAATCTTAGAAGAACCAAACCCATTAGTTTTAAATTCAAAATCAGATACTATACCTAATGAAACCAATAACTTACTACCAGAAACCTGACCTGATACTTTCGTAGTAGAAACAAATTCTGGTTCTTTAATTACCCCGTCAGAACCAAACATTTCTTTATCAGTGATGCTACAGCTCCAACAACAAGTAGCTTACCAAAGTTAACTTATCAGATAGCTGCAACAAAAAATTAAAGCTCTTGAAATCTTTAATCAACAACTTATACAGATATGGAGAGAAGACAACCAGTATACTAGGGATGTAAACTTAATTAAAATTATTTGGTATTATAAAATCAAAAATCACAAAACAATAATTTTTTAATATATTTAATTACTAGATTTATTGCAAAAAACGAAAAATAATTATTGCATTATTTATGCTAAATGTATTGTAAAATATGATAAATAATTTTATCATTATATTTATTATATTATACCGCTAATACTCCACAACGATAGCAATAAATTCTTTATATAATAAAGTTTTGCGCCACATTACTAATCTAATTGCAACTCTAATTCACGCCACATTACTAATCTAATTGCAACTCTAATTTACTATTTGCTTCGAACATCCTAGTTATTAAATCATCTGTACTATAATTAAACGAATTTGAATTTTTTATATTACTACCATGTGACCTATTAACTTTCAATTGACCGTCAGTTTCGATTGATAAATTTGTAATATCGATAACTTCCGAAATCATAAGAGTATCAGTTTGTTAAATAACTTCTGGTGAAGCAATTTCTTAATCGTTTGATAGAGAAAGCCCTTGAAGGTTTGATGGTAGAAATTCTTGAATGTTTAAGGATGAAAGTTTTTGAATGTTTGTTGGTGAAAGTTCCTGAGTATTCGGCGATAAAAGTTCTTGATTTGAATAGAGTAAAAATTCGTCAATATCCGAAATTACAGTCTCATTTACTGAATTTGTTAGTTCCTGTTGAGTTAAATCTTTTCCATAATGAACCAATTCTTTTTTAATATTTGTTAAATAATAAGACCGAATTTTTGCTATTGACTCAACATTATGAATATCAAGCCTATATCGATTATCTCCATAAATCCACCCTAATGTAGAAAAGTTCCTTTCGCATCCAGCTTGAGAGGGCATTATTGAAAATAGTTTAGTTGCAAGTTTAACTAAGGGTTGATCATCATCATCAAATGTAAGCCACCAATTAAGAGGTGTTTCACTTTTTTTTTTATATTCCATATCAAAAGGATCTTCATTTCGTTTATATTTCCTAAGATCAGCTAATAAATTTGAGCATGAATACTCATCATTTCCCAGAGCTTTTCAACAATTAGCGGCAACTTCACAAATCCGTCTGAATGTTCCTGTTTTTAATCCTAAGCCATGATAACCAGGATGCAAAAAATACCCAAGTAAATATATATCAGAATCGAATTCCTTATATCTACAATTAAAAATAGTAATAGCATTATTTTTAAGAATATTTTCGTTAGATATTTGACTAATTGCAATTGCTAATTTTATGTATTCAATATAACAATCAGCCATTGTTGCAGTTTTTGATTCCACAAGATTAA